TATAACAATAATAACAGTAATAACAATAATAAAGTGCTTTCAGTAGACAAGAGGGTCTTGAGTGTTATGGTGGCCTCTTCCAGTCAGCCCTGTTTGGGGTACCACTGTCCAGCAGATCGTTCCATCCCACGTTGTTCATGCCGCACAATGTATGGCTGAGCTTCCCAGGGCGATCCCAAATCCCGATGGTATTGCCACCGTTGGTTAAAGTCCATGCTCTTAACCAGTATACTAAACTGACTGTTATACATTGTGGTTCCCCCTCCTTTTGCTACTATAAACCATGTATAACAGGCAGAGGCCTTTACATTTTCCTGCCAACTGCTTTCCAGAAAGCTCCCTTCACGTCCCTGTTTCTCAAGCTATATATCAGTGGGTTGAGCATGGGCGTCAGAGCCCCTGTTATACATTGTGGTTCCCCCTCCTTTTGCTACTATAAACCATGTATAACAGGCAGAGGCCTTTACATTTTCCTGCCAACTGCTTTCCAGAAAGCTCCCTTCACGTCCCTGTTTCTCAAGCTATATATCAGTGGGTTGAGCATGGGCGTCAGAGCCCCATACATTACAGAGATAATTTTCTCCTCTTCAGAAGGAGATTTCTGCTGAGGCTTCAAGTACATGATCATAATGGCTCCATAGAAGATACTGACCACAGTGAGGTGAGAGCTGCAGGTGGAGAAGGCTTTCTTACGGCCCTGTGTCGAGCGGATGCGCAATACAGCCGAGCCTATGCGCCCGTACGTCACAACGATGAAACCAAAGGGTGGTATTAAAATCAAGAGGCTTGACATTTGCATGAAGAGCTGGCTGGCATGTGTGTCGGAGCAGGCAAGCTTCAGAAAAGACTGCAGCTCACATACAAAATGGTTGATAATGTAGTGGCCGCAGAAGTCGGTGGGCTGCAACAGCACTGTGACGAGGGTTATCAGCATGGAGAGGGACATGGATGCAGCCACTAGACTCCCACAAAGTCTCCAGCTCATGATCTGCATGTAGTGGAGGGGTTGGCATATAGCCGCGTAGCGGTCGTAGGCCATGATGGCCAGAAGGACGCATTCTGTTGAGACAAGAAAGAGACCGATGTACATCTGGACCAGACATCTGTGGAAGGAGATGGTGGGCCTGTAGAGGAAGCAGTTGGCCAAGACCTCGGGAACGGTGTTGTTGGTGATGATGAGATCGATCAAAGAGAGGATGCAGAGGAAGAAATACATGGGATTATGGAGCCGGGGGTCCGCAATACTCAACATGATGATGAGGCTGTTGCCGAGAAGGCTGATGAGGTATGCCATCAGGAGGAACCAAAAGAACACCGCCTGTGCACTGAGGTGCTCAGATAACCCAATCAAGATGAAGTCTGTCACCATCGTTTCGTTGGTAGTTCCCATGACATCATTATCTCTTCTCCTGGAAAGAAAGATTAAGTCACTTAAAAGTGGCACGAGCTGAGCATTCAGTTTTTTCATAACATGTTGAAGAGCTTTTTTTGGATTCTGTTGTTGTTATTGTTGTTGTTGATGATGATGCTGCTGCTGCTGCTGCTGATAATAATAATCTGCATGGCTTTTCACAATCCAGTGGGTGGTATTGCACACTTAAGTCCCATTGCAGTTAGAAAGTCAAAGGCACATTTTATTTGATTAAGGACATCAGAACCCATAGAAAAAATGATACATAAATCATGGACTGGGTTTTGGTCAAAGGCAATAAAAACTGTTACTGAATACTTGTAATGCCTTTTGTATTGGTCCTGTGTTGAGATTCAGATTGTGAATTGATTCTCATATGTGCATCTTGGTGTAAATATTTGTGGAAATGATTCACAGATTTGGAAGGCTGTGATTTCCCATTTTTAAAAAGCTTTTGTTGTAGCATTTGAAAGCTTATTATTATTTCCTTCGCACTGTGATGGAGGCATAGAATATTAAAATTATTCACCAAATCCTTACAACAGTGATTTATGTATACATCTATAACCCATTTTTCACACCAATGGTGACTGAGTGGCTTACAATATTCTCTCCTGGAAGATAGTTTTTTCTTCTTTCCCTTTTCTTTTCTGTACTCCTACTGTTTTCCTAAAATAAAAAGATTAAAGAATTGCTTCACTTCTTAAGAGTTCTGTAGCTCTATGTATTTCCTACACAAACCTTCCCAAGAGTGTGAAGTACTTATAAAAGCGTTCTTACTCTCCTCTCAAATAAATTAGCTCCCTGTAAATGAAATAATGTACTAGTACATTATAAAATATTTGCAAATATTAACTTATCCTTTATGTCTGAGTCTACCATTAAACACATGCCAAAGGTGAGGTTCCACAGGGGCACCTATGTAGTCTTGGGTCACCTTGAGTATTAATGCCTTCAGTGGTTTAATGTTTTTGTGAATAAGGTGAGGAGTGAGGAAGGGGAGAAAGGAGTGTGTGTGTTTTCTCAGTTCAGCAAATTAATTTATCTTACGCCATTTTCTGTAAAATCTGAATATTCCAGATCTTAGAGGCATTTTCAGCAGTGGAGAAAATACAGTTCTATGGAGCTCTTTATGTCAAGTTTAGTCATTATAAAGCAGGAAGGGAGGGAGAGAGAGACTGGTACCATTGAAAACTGGTTCCTCCCCATAACCATAGAGAACATAAGAACATAAGAGAAGCCAATGTTGGATCAGGCCAGTGGCCCATCTAGTCCAACACTCTGTCACATAGTGGCCAAAAATATCAGGTGCCACCAGGAGGTCCAGCAGTGGTCCAGAGGAGTCTACTACTGGCCAGATAAGTAACTTCCAATGGGAAGGGAAAGGAAGGTGAAATAATGAACTGAAGGGCAGCCTATGTTACTATGGTGCCTTGAAGAGGTGATTGGGTGGCTTGTTCAGAGAACTATCCTGAGCAAGTGCCCTCTCTGAGGGTCATTGATTCTATTGGTTTCAGAGGGTAGCCATGCTGGACTGCAGCAGAACAGCTAGACTGGTGTCCAATATCACCTTAGAGACCAACAAGATTGTGAGGATACGAGATTTCATAAGAACATAAGAGAAACCAATGTTGGAGCAGGCCAATGGTCCATCCAGTCCAACACTCTGTCACACAGTGGCCGAAAATACCAGGTGACATCAGGAGGTCCATTAGTGGGGCCAGGACACTAGAAGCCTTCCCACTGTTGCCCCCCCAAGCACCAAGAATACAGAGCATCACTTGCCCCAGACCGAGAGTTCCTATCTATACCTTGTGGCTAATAGCCACTGATGGACCTCTATTCCATATGCTTATCCAGTTCCCTCTTGAAGCTGAGAGTCATAGCTCCCTTCATCAGACACAAATAAGAATGGAGGTCTCTAAGTCCTCATATTCCAGTCTGAGGGTGGGAAGGGTGTTGGAAAGAAAGCAGGATGCAGAGACCCCTGCAAAAGGTACAATGTAAAAATGTACAGATGTACAATGACCCCACCACCACCACCGGGCTGAATAGGGACATCGGATTCTTCTCTCACAACCGATGCTAATTTTCTTCCCCTAAAAATGTCTTCCTTGCTTTAGTACCTTTTGCCTTGTGTCTCTGCATCCTGACTCCCATTTTGGCAACACCCCTCTCACCTTCTGACTGGGATATAAGGACTCGAGGATCTCCATTCCTACTTGTGTCTGACAAAGGGAGCTTGACTCTTGAATGCTTATACCCCGAAATCTTGTTGGTCTCTAAGGTGCTACTGGATTCAGATCTAGGTGATTTGACTGGGTCTCTAACTGCAGTGCAGTCCCAGAGCTACATCCTTCTAAGTCCATTGACGCCAATGGGTTTAGAAGTGTATATACCTTTGCTTAGGATTGCAGTGCTAATGATACCAATCACAGCTGATGTGGAGATGTCAGAATTGCTCTCCCTCAGAGAAAGGTGAATTGGAAATAGCACAGGTGGGACATGAATAGACACAGCAGTGGGACATGAATAGACACAGAAGGCAACTTCCACTATGGAAAATTGATCTGAGATCACAGCAACTATTTAATTAATTTATCTCACATCGCATAGGATCAATTCTCTTTCAGTCCTCCTCAGATCTCAGTTTTATGCTTCATTGAACTGGTTCCATGCACTCAAGAAAGAGATTCAAGCAAGCTCAGAAACAACAAAGGGAAGTAAAAGAAAAAACTATGATACTCTGTTCAGGAGGCTTTGCTTACCCAGTGCTAGTTCCCCAATGATATCTAGACCAGTGTTCCCTCTAAGCTGAGTTAGTGTAAGCTAGCTCACAAATTTTTAGCCTCCGGCTCACACTCCGGCTCAGGACGGATGGCTCCAGAGCAAACTCATTTATGCCGTAGCCAAATCACTCGCTCATATCTTTAATGCCAGTAGCTCACAAAGAAGAATTTTTGCTCACAGGACTCTAAAGCTTAGAGGGAGCATTGATCTGGACTGAAGACTGAAATCTTGAGTAATATGTAGTCCCCTCAAAATAACTTTGAAAGAGAAGAAATGAAGAAATTGTGACACTAACCACCAAATCTTCCCTTTTAAGATCACAAATTCATTTAAAATCAATCCACTTCAGTTACTACCTTGTTAGTTTAAGGTCATCTTCTCAAAAATGTCCTTTTAGATTTTTCCCCAGGCAAGCACTCACACTATTTCTGGCTATGACCAATGTCTTAGAAGAGTGAGGCATGGAACACTGTCTATATTAGGTTAAGCATAAAAAATAATAATGAATTTCCTTGGAAGTACAGAAGTTTTATGCAGAGTCCCTGATCACGTTTCCCAGTTAAGGGGAAAATGCTGTTCAAACAAATTACAAAGATGATCTGACTCCAATGGTAACATGAGAAAGAAATTTCACTTACAAAAAGAGAAGCACGTCTTACATGACATATTCATGTAGGTACATTTAACTTACTGTGAACAGGTCAACTTCAAAAAGGTTAACGCTGCAGCTCCAAGCCCAAGCAAGAGAGAGAAGGTCCTATATAAGATAAAACAGAAGATGAACAAGGGCCAAAGAGGAGCAACAGCTAAGCAATGTGAAGTTGGGGCCAACTGCCAAGTGTCCCCGAGTGAGAGAAATCTCATCATCCTTCCCTTCCCTGATCCTCTTGCACACAGAGTTACAATAGCCAACAGTCTAATGGCAGCAAACATCAACTGGTCTCTAACTCTGATTGACCTTCACAGTTCTTTATAGACTCTTACATCCTTTAGAGGAATACCTTGGCAAGCGTGAGGGTAAGCTGAAGTTCCCTTTTTAAAAATTCAGGGGGGTGGAGATGCTCGTGTGGGTTAGGCTAGAAGACCTTCTCTTTTTTTGTTGTAACGAGGACAAAGTTGCTCATTCCCGGAGACCAAAGATAACAAAGACCTTACTGGCACCTTCTCCAACTTTGTTACTGGAGGTCCTTCTGGAATATGACACAGAAGTCTTCAATAAAGTTCCCAGGGAATTAACTTCAAATTAGTATTTCCAGACTCGAAAGATTAATTACTACTTCATCTGAACAAAACTGCAAGGGTACTTTAAAGGAGAGAAGGAATGATTTGGCAAACATTATGACTCCCAGATCAACTCCGGTGGCCTCAATAAAATCTGCTTTATAATTGTGATGCAATAAGCTGTCTCTCTCCCTCCCTCCCTCCCTCCCTCCCTGTCTCTCTCTTAAAATCACAAAGAGTACTTGGACATAATAATAAATGTTATTATTTATTATTTTCCCCCAAAAACAATTTATTAGGATATAATAAACGTTCAAGCATACAACAAAATTTATTATACATCCTTTTTCCTCTTACCCCCACCCCTTCATGGCTTCCCACAGTGCTCCAACCTCCTGCCCATCTCTTAGATCTTTTACATATCTTCCTTTTAAAAAATCTTTATTAAATATTTTTATTCAACAATTTAAAATATTTATTTGCTGCCTTTCTGCCTTCTGGAACTCAAGGTGTCTTATAATACAAACAGCACAAAAAACATAAAAATACATAACATACAGAAAAAACACAAATTAAAACCACAGTTTACTAAATGAACCCAATGCCATCCTAAATAAAAGTAAAATGCTAAACTAATCAAATACCATCGTAAATAAAATTTTACAATGGAACCAGTCAGTTGTTACAGCCGAATGAGGGATGGATGTATAGGTTCAGCCGTAATCCCAACAAAAAGATCAGAGAATACACAAATGTGCTTAAGTACAACATTTGGGAATGAAGATGAGACATTTATAAGGTTTAACTTCATTGGCCATGCAGGGGGATATCAGAGCAGAAACGCGAATATTTTGGCATTGATTCGTTGTGATCCCCATTAACACATTCTCTTGAAGCCAGCCCAGATCCTGGATGCACTACAAAATTAAAATAGCTATGACTACCTAACCATCTGAGTGGATGTATGT